TCTCAAGGGGCAAATAAATCCAAATTTATGGGTGTCTATACTAAGATAGACCCAGGCATGGAACCAGGAAAGCTGGAAGCTGTGTGTAGTAGAGTCAACACTCATTCTGTCATTCTCTATTCTGGCAAGTCTCCTCTCTGAGGTCAAGGAGGTTGGAACTGTTACTTTTATTTTTGATAGCCATCTTTAGAGATGCATTCATCTCACATGATCTAGGATGGGGTAACAAGATTTTTAAAAGAGACATCCAAAAGGCCGTGGACCTTTTTGTCCTGTTTGACCTTGAGTAAATTACTTGAACTCCCTCGGTCTGTTTCTTTATCCAGACAAGGGGAATAATATCTGTTGTGAACTGAACTCTGTCCTCCCAAAATTCGTTATGTTTAAGCCCTAACCCCCAATGTGAATGTTATTAGTAGAAAGGGCTTTTAAGGAGGGAATTAAAGTTAAATGAGGTCATAAGGGTGATACCCTAATCCAATAGGACTAGTGTCCTTATAAGAAAAGGAAGAGACCCAGGGAGCATTCTCTTCTCAATCTCTCTCTCCATGCATAAGGGAGAGGTCATGAAAGAACACAGTGAGAAGGTGGCTGCCTGGAAGCAAGAAGAGTAAAACAAAAGACAACCCTGCCAGGACCTTGATCACAGGCTTCTTGCCTCCAAAACAGTGAGAAAACATCTATAGTTTAATACACCCAGGCTGGAATCTCATATGGCAGCCCAAGCATACTAATACAATATCTAATGTTGGCACAGGATGGTGCAAGTATTAATTTCCTTCTTGAATATCTTCCATGCTTAGATACACATATTCAATTTCCTGTTACACTTGTTCACCCAGATACTACCACAAACATCTCAAGATCAGCATTTCTTAAAACAAATTCATCAACTTCTCCCCCAAACCTCCTCGTTACCTAGGCTGGAAACCATTGTGTTTCCTCTCTTGCTTGCACCTCAAATCTGATGTGTCTCCAGGCCTGTCCATTCTGTCACCACAGTATCTCTTACGCATTCCCCACTCCAGAACCTCTTTAACCCCTCTTTAATTTCTTCCTTTGTGGATTCTTCTAAGAGTCCTCTTGACTCTCAGTGACAGCAAGTGGTCTCCTTGACCCACATCTCTACCTTTTAAATAATCTAGAAAACATTCTTTCCAAATTAGCAACTTAAAATCTCTTTCAAAAACTTTTCAGACTTTCTAATTTTGGAGGGTCTGGTATTGCTTGGCCACAAAACCAATACTAAGAAAATGTGTGTGTGTGTGTGTGTGTGTGTGTGTGTGTTTTAAAAGTCTGCAAGTTCCTTAAAATGCTCTACATCTGGCTTTAAGGTGAAAAACACAGAGTGTTAGGTCATTTAAAAGTTGGAAATGGCAGTCTTCTAAAATGATATAGATTCTATGTATGTATATTTCACAATTCAAAGTGCGTAAAAGAAGAATTGGGTCATTAATAAAATAATCATCCAATTTAGGGGCAGGTGAGGTAAGTGGCCTTCCAGGTCCCGTCAGACCATGAGAATCTCTGATTCTTTAAAGGTTGATGCCATTTTATACATTTGTTTTTTCATTCATTCCTTATTCACTCACTCGACAAATATAAGCGTGTACCTTGTGCAAGACCAAAGAATGAGCTACACAATGAGCAAGGCCCTCCAGAAGAATAGAAAGATTGAAGAAGAGGGATAAAGATGGCAGATGAGGAAGGAAAGTTCTAGGTGGCACTCTCCAGCTAGGGTAGGTATGGTAGCTGACCCCCAGGCTAGAGACTCCCCGGAACTAACTCCTTATCTCTTTCTTTAAACTTCTTTCTGTACTTCCCTCTTGGTCATTCTTCATTAAAACTTTGACTTGAATGACTACTACAAGCCAGGAGCTCACAGTCTAGTAGAAAAGAGGAAGCAGTAGAGAGATTGAAATGTGGATCATTACAATTGTTTAAAGGAAGACTGAAGGCTGACTTCTCGGAGGTCTCTCAGAGTAGGTATTGGTCAAAGCAGGATAAGCAAAGTTACAGAGCAGTTTGGAGTTGCTGTCACTTAGTGTGGAGCAGGGAATGAAAGGAGAGGAGACTTGAGGCCCAAGGCAGGAAGTGAAGCCCTGTAAGTTCAATTAGCCAAGTGGGTCTCTTCTGGGGGAGTTTTTCTTCTAGCAACTTGGTTGTTCTTTCATGGGATCATTGCCTTCCAACCTATGCCCTAAAACCTTTATGCAACTCATCTTAACAAACTTAAATATCACCCCTAAGGTGATATTTAAGGCTCTCCTGGAGGCCCATTCCAGCCGTATCTTCCACATCTCTTGGATGAAACTGCACTGTCAGTAAAGCAGCTACTTGCTGTTCCCTGAGCATTCTGTGCTTTCAGCTTCCACTCTGTCATGTAGCTCTGCCTCTCCCCTCCTTGCTCCCCCTAATCCCCATCATACACAGAGGCTTTACCTCCTTAAAATTCTAGTCCAAGTATGGCCAACTGCAAGGGTTGTGACTTAAAATCTGGATTTTTGGTTGCTCTTGGAAAATCAGGAGCTGGTATGCCTGGGCCTGAACCTCTGCATGGCAACAAGTGTCTGAAACGCAGTTTACAGCGCGGGTCACTCTGGCTTAGCTGCCTGGCCTCTACGGCCTTTTGGGTTTCCATTTCCTAACCTAATAAATGTCATCCCTTTCGTGATCTCTTCCTTCCTGCCTTCCTGTACTAGATGTAAATTCTCCCAATTTGAATGGCAATCACACCATAGTCATCACCTGTTTTAATATTACTTTAAAAAAATGTAACTTACCTTTTATTCTCCTAGTCTTTTATATATGGCCAGTGCTCAACGAATTTTTATTTCCACAACAAAATGAGAGCACTCTGCCTCCCTAATATGGAGTATAAATACTGTTTGTGGCTATGTACTTCTATTTTGAAGAAGGACTCCTATTACCTGTCAAAAAATTCATATTCTTAAATTTCCCTTAGAAACTTACTACATGGTTCTTGCCCTTTATAGGCATCCCTTTCTCTGTGAGTCTTGGCTCAACTGAAGTAAGAGAACTCACCTTTAAATTTATGGGAGTAATACTTTTGTCACTGACAATTCTATTAGGTTCTATATATTAGCTTCTCTGCCTCTGGCAACCTAAGAAGCTAATCAGTAAATTCTTTTTTTTTTTTTTTAAGATTTTTTAAATTTTATTTGACAGAGAGAGACACAGCGAGAGAGGGAACACAAGCAGGGGGAGTGGGAGAGGGAGAAACAAGATTCCCGCCGAGCAGGGAGCCCGATGTGGGGCTTGATGCGGGACTCGATCCCAGGACTCTGGGATCATGACCTGAGCCGAAGGCAGACACTTAACAACTGAGCCACCCAGGCGACCCCTAATCAGTAAATTCTAAACAATGTCCCAGGCTCCATGCTAAGCTCTCTACCTGCATTAGTTCATTTAATTCCCTCCACAACTCAACCATAGGTATCTTCTCGAATTTACTCAAGAGCAATTATTCAAATTGCCCAGTTGTGAGGTAATTAAGATGTAAACCTAAGTAGGCTGACCCCAGAGCTGTCTTCATCATTAAATCCTGCCCACCTTTAGCAGGGAATAGTATTCTGTATCTGATGTAGACACCATCTTATGCAAGCGCATCCCTACCCTCCAGTAATGGGTTATAGCAGCGGTTCTCAAGTGTGTCCTGGACCAGCACATCAGCATCACCTAGGAGCCTGTTGGAAATGTAAATTATCTGGCTACAGCCCAGACCTGATGAATCAGCAATTCTGGGAATGGGCCCAGAAAAGTGTTAACAAGCCCCCTGGGGGATTCTGAAGCACCCTGAAATTGGGAGCCACTGGGCAGAGGGTCCCGTCTCTGTGCTTGCTCACACAGCACCCTGTACTTGCTTTCCTGGTTTCTCAGTTCCTCTACTTGACTACTCATTTAACCCAAGTTCCTTAAACTAGGGCTGCCTTGGTCAGTCTTATTTCTACCATACTTACGAAATGACTGAATAAATGAATGTGGCAGGCAAAGAAATTTAACAACACCCCTTACTCATTAGTGTAGGGTGAATGAAATTTCAGCAATACTTAAAAAACAAAAACAACCTTGGAGCTTTTTTCCTTCCCAAGCAAAACATCCAGATTGTGTAAGAAAGGAGCCTGCCAGAGGAATAAAAGGATTCAGTTTAGTAAACCTGATGATGGAAATTCAGAATATTGAGGGGCAGCATATTTTCATAGGAGACTGTATTCAGAGGCTGTGCCTATCAGATTCACATTCTCCTGTAGCTCTCCTGTAACTCTAGTAGGGGAACACATCCTTTAATTCATTAACTTAAAGCAGCTGTGGTATTTTCCTCTCATAAGACGGTCATAAAAGGAGATGAAGGTTGCTGCAGTGCACGTTAGTTACTACAGAAGGCTACCATGGACTGACCTAGTTTTAGGGCTCTGAGAAGAAATGCATACCACAGTCAAACTGGGAATACATAAAAATCTGGAGTATTTGCTTTACTTCTATACAGAATATGGAAGTCATTCAGGGTAAAAACATAATTTATGAAACCTAACAATATACAATTTCTGTTGCGGGTTGCTGTCAAAATTGGCAAATTCTTAAAGTGGTGTTGGTCCCAGTCAGAAGTTATTCCAGACACAAAACTGCTATAAAACTGATGACAGATCCTCAAAATGGCCCTACAGCCATGTCCCTGCTACAAAGTGACTTGGCTGGGATTAATAGGACACTTGCTAAGTGGTCAAAGATCAAGTCTTTTGTAAAAGATAATTGCAATCACCTCATACTCACAAAACACTTTGTGGATATTCTGTTGGATGAAACTATTGTCAATGAGACCATCTTCTATGACTTGCACTCAAATGCAAGGCCAGGAGGGACGCAAAGTTCAAGCTTGAGGAAATAAAAAACAGGCAAATCAAGTGATTCTTCCAAAAGCCATGATTTTAGGTGTTATGTGAATAAAACCACTTTCCAGGAGCAAAATAAACAGAGGGTAGTAGTATGCAAAATATTTCATTTTGTTTTATTTTTATGGATAACTGTCATTAATACAGCAGGAACTGGTATGATTATAAAAGATACAAAAAAACCAGAAGAATGTTAGCATTCCATAGAAATTAAAACCTGAGCTGAAGGCTGATCAGAAAGTCTGACACTTGGCACTGTTCTGATAAAAGTTAAGAAACATGTATGCTAGACTTCATAAATAATTCATATTAACTCAGAGAAAGTTAGCTTACATTTCGAAATCTACACATGGAGCTACAAATGCACCAACACTTGAATTAAATGACTTTCGCTGTTGACAAACATTTAAGATAAGCAACGTTACTGAAAACTCTCCAAGGGGGAAAGCAGGGAAGTGAGTAAATTGTAGATTTCTAATTAACAAGTTGAGGTGTGTTGGTATAGGGTTTAATTATTTATTGATGTAGATCTAAAAGGCTAGCTCAGTTTGTCAGAGCATAAGAGAATGCCAAAAGACAAATGGGGATGGATCAACGTAAGTCCACCCCAACTTCTGGAAAACAAGTGACACAGTGTAACACCACCTCAAAGAACTGTGCTTCTAAGAATAGGAGACTTGTGATCTAATTCAGTTCTCACTTTGGCTTCTAGAATCTAAGAATTTGGTATAAAAGAGGGAAATTCAATTCCTTTAATTAGTAACTATCCATAAGCAGAAGCGGAAGAAAAAAAAAAGCTAACAGAGTGATGGGGCTTTGTTGATTAAAAATCTTCGAACATGAATACATGTTAATATGTTGATCTTGAGTCATACTTACAAACCAATGGTTAATATACTACAAAACTTTACAAACATAAAATCTCCTCATCGGTTGCAGAACTTCCAAACTAATGGGATTAATTTCTTCTCCCTTTTAATTCCTCCTTCCACAGAAAGTCCTAAAGCTGAGGAGTCATCAGAATATCTGCACTTTCACATGTGTCATCAAAACATGGTTGTTTTTGTCAAAATGATGCAGGAAGCAGCATCACATGAGGTCAAGGGTCTTATATTCTCTCAAAACATAGTTTCAGTCTTTTGTACTCCAAGTTACATCAAAAAAAAAAAAAAAAAAGATGAGAACAGTTGGACTCATAGTTTCTTTCAGCCCAATGTCATTACAATGTCTCCATGCTAGGAAAGGATATAGTATTTAAGTGCTCTATTACAAAATATCTCCAGTTCTAAAAGAGATAGCTTTTATTTATTTATTTATTTATTTTAAAGGCCGAAGCAGTGCCCTTTCCTTAGCGGAGACCAGCCACTGACTTCCTACCTGTGCCAGCTTTCCAGGAGGACACTAAGTGAGTTTTTGACCTAATATTTTTGCCCCGGGTTTTACGAGGTTTCTCTTCTTTGTGCACCTTCATGTGCTGCCTAAGATGAGAGCTCTGGCTGAAGCATTTGCCACATTCACTGCACTGGTAGGGCTTCTCCCCTGTGTGGGTTCTCTGATGTTGAATAAGGTGGGAACTCTGGCTGAAACAGCGGCCACACTCATCACACTGATAGGGTTTTTCTCCAGTATGAATTCTCTGGTGCTGAATGAGATTTGAGCTCTGTTTAAACCTTTCTCCACACTCATCACATTTATAGGGTTTTTCCCCAGTATGGATCCGCCGATGCTGAATGAGGTTAGAGCTCTGAAAGAAACTTTTCCCACAATCGGCACATTTATGGGATTTCTTTCCAGTGTGAATCTTCTGGTGTTGAAAAAGAGTTGAGCTCTGACTGAAACTCTTTTCACATTCAGTACATTTATAAGGCTTCTCATCCAGGCTTCTTCTCAGTCTACTCAAGCTTGAGTCAAATCGAACAGTCATTCCCCATTTTTGCCGCTGCCGGCCTGTTTTGCGTGTGTTCTCATAGGCTTTTCCTTGGCTTGAGCTCCGAGAAATACTTCCCTTTGGTTTTCCTAACCGCATGGTGATGAGCCAAATGTATTCTTAAGAGTCTGCTCTCTTCTTCTGAAGTTTCACTTCCTAGAGCTACACAGCTCAATTTTCTGTGTAGAAGAGAAAAATAAAAGCCGACGTCAATCACTCATTATAATTATTCAACTTTAACCCATATAATTCAATCTTCAACCCACTGAAACTGCATCCATATGTAAATTAAAAATGTACCCAATACATATGAAAACAAAGACAATTCTGGGCGGGGGGGAAATACTTGCAAAATAATTCTAATAATTCCCAGGGTTTCAACTTAATAAATATACCCAAATTTTGACCAAATTTACCTATGGAGTTTTTGTCTGTTGGGACAGGATAAAAGTGATAATGTGAAATATAAGTTTTTATTAGGCATTATCAAATGAGTATATAACCGAAGGATTAAAAGGTGGAGACAACATAATATCCTAATGGGAACAGAAGAAATAACTGAAAGACAATCAAAATTTGGGTAATAGACTATCACTACATTTTAATATTTACTCCCATGTTAAAATTCTACTTATTTACTGGTGACTATTTAAAGCACCTGAATTAGAAAGAATGACAAATCATACTACTTTATTAAATTGTTTTTGTTTATCCTTACTTGTTTTGCCTTTCTACTTTCACAGCATGGATACAACTTGGCTCTAACTTTGTAGCATTAATTGTTTTGAAAGTAAGAACTACCCTATAAGGAGTGGCAAGTTTCTGTGAGTCAATTCAGTAATACTGGATAAGAAAAATGTAAATGAAAAGATGCTTTTTTTCCCTAGATTCTAATAACCCAAGAAAGAGGACAATTCTCTGAAAACTTGAAACAAGTGAATTGTTTCTGGGGAAGAAAAAAAATTCAGAAGAACTTTTACTGTAAAGTGGAATGAAACTCAGTGGAAACAAAGAGTAGTGAGTAGAACACAAGAAAAGGAGGAGGAGAAAGTAAGTTTACATGCAAAAAATAGAAGTTTTAAAATACCCAAATGCTGCAAAAATTAAAAAAAATTTTTCATTTACTTACAAGGTTATTTAAAATAATGGCCACAAGCAAGCCACAAACTCCAAATAGGTGATAATGTGGGATAAGCTAGGTTGAAAAAGTAATAAAATTATTGAAACTATTTTCCAGGGACGCCTGGGTGGCTCAGTCCATTAAGCGTCTGCTTTGGGCTCAGGTCATGATCCCAGGGGTCCTGGGATCGAGTGCCGCATCGGGCTCCTTGCTCAGCGGGGAGCCTGCTTCTCCCTCTGCCTGCCGCTCCCCCTGCTTGTACTCTCACTCTAGCAAATAAAAAAATAAAATCTTAAAAAAAAAAAAAGAAAGAAAGAAAAGAAACTATATTCCACATCCTGTGTCAGGGAGATTTTAAAATGGGAATAATTACCCTGAGTCTCTGCATAAAAGCTTATAAAGCAAATAACTGAAAATACAAATTACATCATTGTTCTTGCCTTTCCTTCATCTTTTTGTATAATTCAGACTCCAGGCCTGGTAGTGCTGAGGACTTTATTTGGATATTTAATAATTATCTCTGTTGTAATCATGGTTAAGTATCAGAAAGAGCAAACTGCATACAATACCAATCACCGAGAGAGCACCGCTCATCAACTTTAGTCAATATTTGCAGAGTATAATAACAGAATATTTATCTATTTACAGAATATCTGTTTCAAGGAGACATTTGTTATATACGTGGTGTTGATGTTCAAAAAACAGCTATAACGGGAATTACACATTGAAAAAAACATTTATTTTTTAATACTATATAAGTGAGATCTGGTAGGAAACTCTGAGACTATGTAATCCACCTAGAACACTACAGATGAGGAAATCATACTGAGAGGCAGCCTTAGTGGTATGCCAGACTGTGCTCGCTTCGGCAGCACATAGACTAAAAAAAGTGGTATGCCAGACACTGTTCTATGATACTTCATTCTCATAGCAGCTTTACGCGATGCTCTCCATTTTACAGCTAAGGAAAGGCAGGCGGACTTCGGCCAGGTCCCCAACCCCTAGCAGCCCGATCCCAGAGCCTGTCCTCTTGTTGGCAGAACTTATGTGCAGCCACAACTTTCAACACCAAGTCCAGCGCCGCGACCCGGGCTCAGCATAATTTCTCGGCAGGTGCGGGTATTACGGTAGACCTGAGCGATGGGAGCTGTAGTCGTGCGAACACGCGTACCCGGAATGAACCTGCTTTCTCCTACATAAAATCGGGAGGACAATAAAGCTGCGACATCCTCGGGGTGTCAGAGGTGTAAAGGAGTCAGTATCTGCAGCTAGCTCCTAACAGCCCTGTGCTACCCAAGCATCTATTCAAAGTATTTAGTCCTGAAAGGAGGAGGCGACGGCCGGCGTGGGCACCGCGGCCCGACTCGCAGGAGCTCCCGTGCAGGCCTCCGCCCTCCCCAGGCCTCAGCCGGCCGCTCCTCGCAGGCCGGGCCCGCCCAGCTCCCTCCGCCCCCGCCCCCGCCCGGCGCCGAGCCTTCCTAGCGGCTCGGGGAGCGGGGGCCCAGGTCTGCCCCGCCCCGCGACGGCCAACCGGCGCCCGAGCAGCCTCCGAGCACCTGGCCGCGCACCCCCAGCCCACTCACCGCGCAGCGGGCCGCCCGCCGCCTTGGCTCGCTCGCTCGCTGGGCGCCCCTCGCGCCGCCGGAAGTGCGGGCCTCGCCGTCAGTCGGCGCCGTGCGGCCGCTCTAGGAACGTGGCGGGGGCCGACCCTCTATGGTGCTGGGCCCACCGGAAAGAAGAAACCCTTCGTTTCTTCTTTTTGTTTCGCTCGCCCGCGGCGCCGGAGGCGTGCCGAAGTTCCGCAGGACCGCAAGACCTGTGGCCGGGCCCCTTTGTGGGCGCGCCATGGCTTCCGGGGCCAGCTGACTGCAGCCCGGTCAGTCGGGGCTTTTGAAAGGCAGCACCTCATTCTTCCTAAAGTATTGAGCACTTACTGATTATATAGACGTACTCTGGAGAGCCGAAACTGTTGTGATACAGTCACCTGTGTTAAAAAAAGGTTGTTTTTTTTTTTTTTAAGATCTCAATTGGCTTTGTTAAGCAATCATGAATGGGCAGCATCCCATCTAGGAAGTGGAGATGTTCCAAGGAGTTGTACAAAATGGAAGGTTTTTATAGGAAGGAGGGTGGGACAAAGAGTTATTAGCAAAAGAAAAAAAAATGTTACATTTTGGTGGGGGAGGAGGGAAAGGCAGTTTTTGTCATAAGGATGAACTCATTAGTGCTCTAAGGAAATTTCAGATGTTACAAGGCCACGTGCCTGGGATAGGTTGAAACTGTAACTAAGTCTTGGTTTCCTATGGGGGGGTGAGGGGCGGGGGCAAATGACTCCATTTTGGGCTTCTTTAACACCTTAATTATCACCAAAAAGCCTCTGGAAGATAGAAATGATCATACTCTACTGATAAGGAAGGGGGGTGTTTTCGGAACCAGAGTCTCCTGATTTTCAGCATACCCCCCTCATTTCTCTTTAATAATGATCTCTCCTGGTTCTCCTCTCTTACAAGCTCCTCCTCCACCAGCCTGGCAGGTGCTGGGTCATCTGACCTCTTTAAAGTTCTCTGTGTCTTCATTCCCCTGTAGAGCAGCTCCAGTCTGATGGCTTCAAATACCAACAGTATATACTGCAGACTCCTGACTTGGTAACTCTAGTCCAACCCTGGGATGCAAATATTATTGAACTCCAGACCTGTATATCCAGTTTTTTACTCAGCTGCCATTTGCATGTGTGATGGACATCCTGAACCTCACCTGCGCCACAAAGGAGCTTCTGACATTCACCCACCCTGTTCCTTCAACAGTCTTCATCCCAGCAGTTGATAGCAACTCCTTCTTTCTAGTTGCTCAGGCCAAAAATCTGGATGTCATTGTTGTGTCTTTTTTCACCCAAAACCCAAACCCAATCCAATTCTGAATTCTGGTCTCTCTGTCTTCAAAATATATCGAGAATTGAGCTGCTATCAATACCTTCACTGCTATAACCTCCACCAAGCTGCTGTCATCTCCTTGTTGGCTGGGGCTTCTCTGGGAAACCACCCAGCAGGGACCAGTGTGCCCTTGAGCCCGGTTGTATTTGAAGAGCTCATTCTAGGAAGAAGGGCGTACACGTGACATGGAAAAGCCCCGTCTCAGCAGGGAGCCCTGCTGCATTTGGCAAGAATGCAAGGGAGGCTGGTCACATGTGTGGCCCAAGTGCAGTAACAGCAGTGGTCCATCTCCGACAAAGGGACCCCAAACAATGGTTCTGTCCACCAAGCCTGAGACTTTGCTTTCTGTTTCCTTTGGGTTCCCTGGGAAAGGAAACTCTGGGGATTCCCATTCCTGGGTTTGCAGAAAACATCTTTGTTAAAAGTGTGACCAGGAGGGAGCAGAGCCCCACCCTGCATGTTGTGAGTCCAGGGGCAGGTCAACAGCTGCCTTTCTTCCTGGCAGTCTCAGCTTGTGGGGCCAAAACACGGCACGTGTACATTTACTGTTTTTATACTTAGAACGGCTTGGCTCTGACTGCATTTCCTGCTTTGATCACAGTGAGGGACTGAGGTAGGGGGGCTGTTGCCCACTCGGGCACCTGAGAAGGATATTCCGCTCCTTCTCCACAGCTGCGGGTGCCTGTGTCCTGCCCACCCTGGCACACATTGTGCCTTGCTGGATCCTCTGCAAATCACCTGGTCAGGCTGGATAAGCCTTGTGCTTTGTTTCCCTGGGACTAAAGGACCAGATGTATCCTGGGTGAGCACAGAGGGAAGGCCTTTAATCCATTTTCTGGTAAACATTCCTGCAGGTGGCATATGGCTATCACATGAGAAAAACAAGCTGTTTTTTTTTGGTTCTGATAATTTGTTCTGGGCAAAACACCCTGTTTTTCCCCAAGTCCAGTCCTTCTTTTGCAATCATGTAGATTTCATCCTGTGTTTATTATTTTCTCTGGTTCCTGAGACCTGGCCTGGGAAGACAGTCCTGTTTTAGGAGAGGACATTCACTCACAGGAATCTGCACTTTGTTTTTGGATGCTTTTATTGCCTGAGATACTAGTTAGTGAGGGAGCACATGAGAAATACTGTCAGCTCTGTGGAGAGAGGAAAATAGAGCTCCCACATAAACCAGCAGGAAACCACAGAGCCTAGCAGAGAAAGTCTGCAATTATGGTGGCACGGTGAGCTGAATTAGCAGCTTTTCAAATTGCCTCTGAAAAGCAAATATACTGTTGATAAAAAGATTGGCTAACTAACCCCTAGGATGACTGTAGAAAATTTCTCTCTTTCCTGTGTAACTTGTGATTTTTCTTAGCTATGATATTCAGAAGTTAGTTTTGATAATGTCTATTTCAAAAGTATTGCTTATCTAGGCAGGCCTTAAATAATATTGAAACAATTGCAAAAAAAAAAAAATCCTAAACATGAAAAAACTGTAAAACAAAACCAGCGAGTGCTTTTAGAGGGGCTCCTGATCTGATGGCTTCCCATGTGCAAGGCCCCGTCCTGCTCCTAAGCTGGCAGGTGTTTCTCAGGCTAGAAAGCCACCTATCCCAATCTGGGCTCAGCCTCCAGGCCTCCTTCCAGGGACCTACACCAGCTCTATCCTCTGTCGGTCCCCTGACCCTCCCGGGTATCCAGCCTGCTTCTCCAATTGAGGATAACGCTGAACACCTCCTATTGAGGTGCACCGTGGCTCCGTCTTTGTCTGGCAAAGGACTGAGCACCAGCCTGGCACAATTACTGCCGAATAATGGATTGGCAGTTGAACTAGACCTGAGCTTATAAATATCGGTTGGGGAGTAGAACCACCTGGGGAAGCCTGTTTGATTTGTTTTCTACCCTCCCTGAGGTGCTATTGCCGTCCCATCTGAGCCCCTGCCTGGAAGATTCCTATGGTCCTCCTGATGCTGAGATTCTGTGAATCAGGGTGATCCTATTGCTCATCCTCCAGGCAGCCCACAGACCGCCACCAATGATTCTTCCTCTGTGCCCTTTGGCTGCCTTTGTCCTCAGACCCCACACTAGTCCTCAGGATAGGAGTCACGTTCGGGTCCAGAGCAGCAGGCTGTGGCTCAGCTTTGGCCCTTTTGCTAAATGTGGCCACACATGTTGTAGGGTAAGAGTTTTGGAGGTTAGAGCTGGGAGTCAGGGTGGACACATAGGCAAAAAGAAGGCTTGGTCCGAACTCCTTCAGTTCAATACAGTGCACCTTTATTGAGCTCCTGGGAAACTAGGAAAAGGAGGGAGAGCAGAGATGACAGATACTGCCGGGGATCTCTCTGGAGCACCGCTGCGTGTCTCTGTGACAATGGAGATAGGCCGGGGAAATCCTGGCATGAAGTTCACCCGGAACGGTGGCTCCACACAGCACGGCTGCTCCCAGGCTTTGCTCTCTATGGGTGCCAGGAAGGAGCCATTGCATGGAACGGAGCGGGACTGTCTCTTATATTTGGAAGACTTTACAGTTCTTCTCTTTAAATCCACTATCCACAGGCCCCAGTGGGAAAAGAATTTGGTCTTTAACTTGCTCTGTTTTGGACAAACACTTCACATGACCAATGTACACTGTTGCATAGTTTTGCAAAGGCCTTCCCGTTCATTCCAGAAATTCTCCATCAGCTGACAAATCAAATTGTTCTGGCCGCAGGGAATTCAAAGCCTTTTCTCCTCAAATAGACATTTCTCCTCATTGTGCCCCTTTGATGGGAAGTGTAGAGAGTGAAGGAATAAAGCCCAGAAAGAGCAAGAGGCACACGGGCATCCAAGGGACAGCGGTGATGGGGACTGAGCACTGCCTTCCTAAGCCACTGCCTGAGCCACAGACTCTGCTGCACACGGGCTGGCATCCTTCCAGTGCAATGTGGGCCGCCTCCTCTATGTGATTGAAGTGCCATGTTTCCTGCAGCAAGCTCCTTATAAGAATTCTTCAGGTCCCAAGAAAAAGTTAGAAGCCAGTGCTGCAGAGAGATGATAGGAGGCTCATGGTCTTATCCCAGGTCTGACCTCTGCTGCCAGGGTGCTAGGCTGTGTAATGCTCACAGGGTGGCATCAAAGGCTTGGAGGCCAGGGATACCATGGGGAAGTGAAGGCCAGAAGCAGGGCTTATCCCATACCTGCTGGCAGCCCCTGTTTTTCCCAGCAGAGTCTTGAGTAGCAGCATGAGGGGAGGCCAGACAGGGATCTCATGGTTCACATGGATGAGGAGGTCAGGGGCTCATGGCCAGGCAGAAACTCTGGGCCCAGGCACTGGGAAAGCAGATAGGGCGCACACCCCATGGGTGTGATCAGGTACTGCTCTCCTGAGCAAGAGAGGTGTGGCATGAACAGGACCGGCCACGCCATCCAGCCACATAATGTGGCCAGTGCCCCAGCTTCAGGGCTGCTTACTGCCCACGCAAGCCTCACACATAGACCCCACCGAGCAAATTCGTGGCTCTTCAGGCCTGGCTCTGGGCCCGGTGAGTACTCAGCTAGGAGCCAAGAGCCAGGGACATGGGGCACATGGTACTCAGGCAGAAAGACATGTAGAAGCGCGGGGGCTCGATTCCCCAGCCGGTGGCTCTCAGTCCGTGTGACCAGTCAGGGCCCGGCCCCCCGCACTCAGTGTGCACTGGCAGTGGGGGGGCTTCCGAAGAGGCCAGCGCTGGCTGGCTACTTGGCCTCCACCAGCTGCTCCAGACGCTGCAGCATCGTCAGACGCAGGGCTTGGAACCTGGAGGGAGACACAGCCAAGAGGACTCACTGACCCCGGAGGATACAAGGAGAGGGGGACAGAGCGAGGGAGCGCACAGATGGCTGGGCCAGTAGACCCAAGGCTGATTAGCGGCCACCATCTTTCCTTCGCCAAGGAGAGGGAAGAGCCAGGGCCACACCCTGCAAAACCAGCGGCTTCGAGAAGCAGTCGGACAGGGCTGTCAAGCTTCAAATGTGGAATGTGCTGTTTCTCTTCCCAAGGTTCTTCGGTACAGAGAGGAGCATGCTGGAGGGGACAGGGTGGCAGAGCAGGGATCGGGAAGCCTGCATTCAGGCTCAGGCTCTTCAGTGACCTGTGCCGCAACTTTCCTTGCCTCAGGCCTCGGTTTCCTCTCTGTATCCCAAATGGACTGGCCGGGTGACCCCCAGGTCCCCTTCCAGCTCCCAGACCCTACAGCCAACTGCATGATGGACTGTCCCCTCTGACTGGGGACAGTCTCTGCTGACTTCCCGAATGGGGCCTCACTGCACAGATCTGGAAGGCTGGGGTGGGGACTGGAGGGCGGGCTGTGGCTTTCCAAAACTCATTCAGCCAGAAACCAGAAACCAAACCAGTCCCCCGACGGCAGGCCCTCTCATGGTGAGCAGACTGCCTCCTTCCCTTCCTGAGGGGGATCTCCGACCCTGGCCCCAGCTGAGTGCCCCAGGTGTTTCCCCTCCCCCATCCTTCACTCTGCAGAGGGACAGGCCAGTCATTGGCAGGTGCAACTTGGCTAGCCTCACCCAGCCAGGCCTTGATGTAGCTTCTCCAGGAGCCCACAGGTGACACCTGCTCACCTTTCCATTGAACACGTCCCCCTCACCTGAAACCACCAGCTGACATAGAAGGTTCCAACAGCCACTGCTTTTTGGCAGGCTGAGAATTCCCACTAGCAGGAAAGGCCCAGACCAGGCTGAATGTGCCCTGAGCAGGCCCTCTCCTCGGTTGCTCCTCCAGGGCTGTGTCACCAGTAGTGCTCATGACCCTGGTCCAGTGCCCACCCGCGCTCCTGCCTGACTCTCCCGAGCTCAGTTTCAACAGTGGTGCCCCTCCCGTGCTGCTGAGGTGCTGAAGCCAGAGGGGCGGTTTGCCCTGCCTCCTGCCCTTTCTGCAGGCTGTCACCCCAGCTTGCCCTCACTACCGGGAGCCGGGGGGAGCAGGCCTCCCTGAGCCAGGCCAAGTGTCGTGCCCTGGAGGAGGGGAGAGCTTGCCCAGCCCCGGCCTGGGGGCTCTGCCCTGTGCACTTGCCCTGATGTTCAGGACCCACGACTGGCTCTTTATGTGCTGCTTACTTCATGGTCAGTTTGATTATTTCTCTTTCCTCCTCTTCTTTTAATTTTTCAACAAAACTGTCCAGCACCGGCATTTCAAATTTAATGTACTGAGCGACCTAGAAAATCCAAGAACATTTTAATGTGCTTTAAATTAGAAGCCAAAAATGTGTTTTCTTTTCCTCAGGGCCTCCACAAGCAGTCGATCCAGCCATGTCTTATAGCCAAGGAAATGGCTGCCCTTCTCCCCACCACGCCCAACTCTCAGTCTGTACTAGGACAGAGGACAGAAAAGCCCATTCTCGCCTCACAGCTTATTATCCCTGGGAGGAGAGATGAAGCTGGAGATTAGGAAAAGTATTCAGTAGAGAGCAGAACCACGCTGGGTCTTCTCGGGGGTGAGGGAGGGGAGCGCTGGGAACACCATTGTTTCTAACCCTGGAATGAAGCCGCACTAGTCTGTGAATGGTTCGAAGGGTACAGGGTCACTGGCCTTCACCTTGCGTCCAAACCCTAGAGGCCTTTTCCGTGCAAGGGAGCTCGGCAACATGCTCCTTCCTAGCCCAGGACGCAGGCTGTGATGGGACTTAACCACATTTCCCTTCCACAGGCCCCGGGGTAGGCACTAGTTAAGGGGCCCTTGTGTGGGTGACAGCCAAACACACTCTAACAAAGGAAAAGTTTCTACCTGCCTGAGGGGGAAGGCACAGGCAATGGTGTTTTATGACTCAACTTCCTTTTTCCCCTAGGCCCGTGGCTGGGGCTGGTGGTCCTTGACAGGAGGAGGGAGGGCTGGAGCCATCCCTGTGCTGGGCTTGGGGCTCTTTAGGACAGCTGTGTGAGACGCCACTCCACATGGCTCTGGCCAAGCTCATCTTCAGAGCCCTTGGGAGTCCCCCATGCTGTCGTCCAGCCCTTCCCTCAGGAGCAGGCCTCCCTGAGCCTCAGCCCAGACTCACATCGTGGGGAACTTCCTCGCCCAGGTCGGCTTCCATCAGGAATATCCTGGCGATCTTCTCACATGGCCCGTGCAGGATTCTGGAAATCAGTGGGTACTCACAGTCTTTTAATTTTGTTCGCTCTGAAAAAGAAGGCCATTTACAAAAATCATGGGGCAGTAGGATTGCCCCTCTTTGTTCCGGGATGGGAATGTGGTAGAAAATGGATGTCCAGGGGGCCCGGAAACCTTCTCCAGACCTTGAAGAGAAGGTTGCCCCGAATGATGTGTGATTGTGGCATTCAGCAAAGACAGGTCAGAGAGGAACAGGAGCCCAGGGAGTAGGAGAGAGGGGAGGGTGGACACGGGGAGGCGGGCTGCTCAGTTACCGTGGAGCGGAACCCTGCACAGAGGGACATGTGGGTTCTGCAACTGTTCTCAGGGGGTGAGGGGCTTCAGCTCCAGCTCACAGCCCCTGACGTGCACCCCCAACCCTTCCCAACTGAGTGTGGTCGAAGACAGTGGCCTCCCTGTGAGTTTGGTGGGATTCTGGAAGGGGCAGCGAGCATGCCTGGGTTTGGGCCTGGCAGAGCATTCACGGTGGCCCTCAGAGAAGGAGCATGGTCAGTGAGCTTGCCACATGGACAGAGACTTTGGTCTTTATGATCCGGAAGCAGAGGCAGACACTTACCCCCAGACTCGTGAACAATGTAGAGCGCAAACTCACTGGGGCCATTTTCCACCTGTACAGACAGGAACAGGAAGTCAGACCAGGGCTTTATGAGACAAGACAGGAAGGGATCCCCAGCAAGAACCACACTGCCAGCGCTGCATGCACAAGTCCCCAAGGATCCTCCCCTCTTTCTGCTTAAGATCCCTAGAGATGCCGCGTCGGTAGAGGAAACTTTTGCTAGACCTTCTAACCCAGGAACCACAGGCAGCTTCCCTGGCCTTTGCCAGCTTCTCCAACAAGACAGCAAACTGCCAGCAACCGGGGGCAAGGCCGCTCATAGCCAGACTTACTCGGAACTTGTTCAGCAGCAGGGTGAGCACGTGCACGGTTGTCATGGTGCTGTTGACCCTCACGTTGGTCACGGACCCATAGGCAGGAGTAAACACCGAGGTCTGCAGAGGGAGGTGGGCCATTCAGGGCAGGGCCAGAGGGACATGGAGCTGACATCACGCAGGGTCTGGGCACACTGTCAGCCCGATGGTCTGAGGTGACAGGTGACCCTGGGCTCTGGAAGCACCTGTGCCTGTCCAGCACAGGTCGCACACAGCTCCGCCCACATCTGGTGCACTTGGGGAAGCCCTAGCAACTCCTGTCTTACAGAGGCCTGTGAGAAAGATGCCTCCGAAGCTATCAGGGCCAGTTCTCTGACCCTCGGAGCCAGTCCCATGGAAGTACTTCACAGGAGGTGTGGGGACCAGTCTCCTTCTCACTCTTTCTTTGGCTCAAATTGCCAAGTGTCTGTTGATTCTAAGACCGAAAGTCCTGGAATCTGTCTGCTCCTCCCTGTTCTCCCAGCAGTAGAGGTTCTCAGTTTACACTGCATCAGCGCCCCGCCTCTCTCCCCTTCCAATCTCAGCGCTTTCCAGCCATTCTCCACACTGCTGTCCCAAGAAACAACCTTTCAAAAACCTTGCAACTCAAAGTGTGTTCTGGACGAGCTGCATTAGCACAGAGTCTTGGCTCCCAGCCCCAGACTCTTGAATCAGAATCTGCATTTTGAGGAAACCACCAGCTGATGCTCTCCATACAGTACAATTTGAGAAGGACTGTCTTCTGGCATAGTTCTAGTTAGAAGTATCTGAAGGCAGCCTACAGCCTCAACAATACCATTGCTTCCCCTTCTCGCTGCATATGTGATACATTGATTCTCTCCCCAGTGCCCTGTGGTCCAACCACACAAGCTCTTCACTGTTGTGGGGGTGGGGGGCGCATTATACTCCTGCAGATATCTTGCCTTTGCCTGTGAGACACCATATATATAGTCAACCAGGGCATCATCTGAGGCTTAATAAGTCCTCAATGAGCACTAGCCAGGTTATAGACCTGCTAAGCACTTCACCTAAAATCTTTGATTTAATCCTTCCAAAAGTTTTTTGAAGTACCCTTTTAAGAAAGGACACAGAGTCTTGGAGAGGTCAAGTAGCTTGTCATGGACACCCATCTAGGAAGGGCAGAGCCATTGGAAAGCCCATGCTTTATCCCCGTGGCACTGAGATCTCCCTGTGATTCTCACTTCCCTGAGGTGAGCTCTTCCTCACTTTCCAAAACTAAATTCAGATTTACACATTCCTCCTCTATGGTCCTAGCTCTACTTTCCCCAGGATATAACTGGGGCTCAGGAATATGAAGGACTTGCTCAGTGTCTCCAAATACCGGAGTCAGACTCAAACCCAGACCTGCCTCCTCCATAGTCACCATGCCAAATGACTCTGGGTTACACAGAAAGCCAGACTAGGCTTTCAGTCCCCAAGAAATATAGACTAGAGGAGTCAGGCCTTTTCAAGGAGAAGAAAGGTCTTGTCAACAAGACATTATTGGTGTTTCTCCTGCCTGGAGCCTTTTCTCAAGATGATGCTGACCAGCTCCAAGTACGAACAAAGGCCGCATGGCTGCTTTGCCATCTCTAACCACAATGGTTTCTCTCTGGTAGAACACAGTTGAATCTAACAGCCCAGAACAAAGCAATGGGACAGGTACCAAGTTTTACTGAGTCTGAAAATCACATCAACACCACTGTGAATCAGAATAGTTTCGGAAAATGGTTGAGTGAAGTAATAGTGCACAGTTCTAAGAAATAAAATCCAGAATAACAACCTCAGGAAGTCAATTCTAGGTATAATTTTTTTAACTTGTTGCCTGTGATTCAAGTACCTTGTTACCTGATTTCTCAGGACACTGATTCCGAGTGGACTGCCAAGTAAGAGGGAGAAGGAGCCCCTTACTCAGCCAGGAGATGGGAATCAGCTGTCCAACATGCCTAAGATACTAGTTCACGTCCTGGATGTTAAGTCAGTTTGCCTGGAAGAATGAACCCACCTTCTGGAGGTAAATCTGTTACTGGGAGAAGGAGCTGCTCTGACTGGATTACAGGCTAGTGGGTTGAGTGTCGAGCTGGCTGAGGAGCCCTTCTTGCCAGGGTGCCTCCCATGGATAAAAAGCTGTGACAAAAGTCCTCATTGTTCATTTCTGTTCATTCAAAAGGCTACAGAGTGCTCAGACATCTCCATGTCTCTGGGGCATTTGCAATGACTACAGTAAGGTTGAATGTGCTTAGAGATGAGTGATTCCCTTAGAGGAGGGGGTAAATGCGCTGGAGATAAGCTCCACTATTTGTTACCTTGAGTCATGGATCAAAAGCTTCCTTTTTTAGGATCATAGAAATACGAAGAACCTAAGTTCATGCAAATATTCTTTTAAAACTTTTGAATAATTCCTCAAAATAATAATATACTTACTGAACACTTTACAGATTAAACCCCTTTGGAACAAGTTTTAAAGAATATCCAAGTCAGATCGTGAAGTAATCTAGACGATTCTTAATCTCTGCTTAACTTCAACCCTGCACCCTCTAGGGAAACTACTCTCAAATAGTCCTGGGTTTCCCTGCACTTAGCTAGGATCGCCTGGTATCACCCACGAACATTCATTGCAAACCTAGCCCAGAGTGGAAGGCGGGGGGAAGGGTGTCCTCTTAGTAAGGCAAGGTCCCTTCTGCTTGCCTTGCTGAACTCTTCACCCTAAAGTCCAGGGTACTCCCCAGAGAACTTGAATGGCCCCTGGCAGGCCTAACCTGTGTAACTGTTCTTCAGGTCTGACCCTGAGAGCTGCCTTTGCCAGGCCCCCTCCCCCTCCCGTGAGTCATCGCCTATCAAGATGGGCAGCTGCTTCAACTGGAAACCTCTGCTTCCATTTCCCAGTGCTGCAGGATGTGGCCCTGTTATAGGACACTCCATCCAGGGCCTCACCCAAATTGCTACTCCTGCATTTATAGAAACAATCAACTTCTCCTTTTACAGTTTGGTTTGTTTAGGGACTGAAGTCATCTGGGGAAGGAGATCTTTTCCTCAGGTCAGTACAATACATACTCGGACAAAAGGCTAAGTGCTGGGAACCAGGAGTAGTGCGGGTTCTCTGGGGCGCAGAAACACGTGCCCCTGGACCCACCTCAACCTAGGGCTTACTCTACCCAGGGAGAAGGCCAGCAGCACATCACGTTCCCATGAAACCATCTGTCGAGCTCGGGTGGAAACCTCAGAGAAAATTGCCTAATTAGACATAAACTTGGCATTACTTTCCAAAAATCCATGCAACTTGTGAAAATGGGTTGACAGTGAGTATGTGGTAAAAAAACAAAACAAAACAAAAAAACAAACCCAACAACAGGCTTTGGGGTCACCAGCTGGAATGTGTTTTGTGGGGGTTTTTTGTTTGTTTGTTTGTTAGTTTGATGTGACTTTGGGCAAGCTATTTCTCCTCCTGAGCCCATTTATCGGTGAGGACGCAGATATGACACACCAGCACACAGGGCCATGGTGAGGGTGACCTCTGACAAGACTATGGTGGGGCCTGGCCTTCAGAAGGCCAAGAGCTGCACCCGTGCTTGGGGCCTCCTCCCTGTGGCCTCAACTTCAGGGCCCAGGGGAGATGCCAGGCTGGAACATCACCTTGTGGTTGTAAAAGTGCCCATTGATGGAGAAGCGATGTCGCCGGATCCTCTGGGCCTCGCCGGGTGCGCGGGCCCGGGGCCTCCTCTGGATCACACAAGCTGCGTCACTCTTGGTTCGCATCAGCTGAGGGGTCTCCTCGTCCTCCTCCAGGGGCTCTGTAGTGAGGAACAGGTGAGAAGGTCAGTCCGGGTCGGAGCAAAGGGGCCAGAGAACTGCCGTGCTGCGGCGGTCACGCGGCGCGTGGGGCTTGGTTCCCTGGAGCTTTGTGGTCACACCCCACTGCGGCAGAGGGTGATGTGAATGCTGTTTCTGTGACAGGACTTGGGTGACGCCCACTTCGCAGACAGGAAAGGGGGCCCCCAGACAGGACCACCTGTGTCACAATGCCGTATGGCCACGGCCTGCGCCTCCGTCTCCGGGCGCCCTGGGCAGCTCTTCGGCAGCCCCATCCCTGTCCTCTGAGCCTCCACTGAGTGTGAGGGGAGGACATACAGAGGACAGATGAGCAGTCTGGACTCCAGAGTGTGAGGAAGATGCATCCTAGAGGCCCACAGGCCCCGGAGGGTGCCATGCTTGCTGTTGCTATTCTCTCCTTTCTAGAAAGCAGGGGACTCAGGCAAATTACGTCAAACAATGTCACCCCTGCGAGCTTCTGCCTCCTTTTTCTGTAAGTGGGGAGCTGAGGAGAATGCCTTGTACCGAGGAGGTATTTAGCAAGTGTTGCTCCTGAAGACAAATAAAGCCACTCTGCGCTCCTCCACATAGCTGGTCTTTCTTTTTTCTTTTTTTCTTTTTTCCTTTTTCTTTTTTAGAGAGGGGAAGAGAGAAAAGGGGGGGGGGCAGAAGGAGAGGGAGAGAGAAAGAATCCCAAGCAGGCTCCACATCCAGCATGGAGTCCAACTTGGGGCTTGATCTCACAACCCTGAGGATCATGACCTGAGCTGAAATCAAGCACTGGACACTTTAACCAACTGAGCCAGCCAGGCGCCCCAACACAAAGCTGTTCTTCAGAGATGGTGGTCATGAGCCAAGCCCCTTGCCCCGGCTGAGAGAGACGGGGTCCCAGGTAGCTTGAGGCCCCACTTGCCTGAGCTGTCTCTGGAACTCTTGGCCCTGGGTGCTGTCTGAGTCCTTGGCTCCTGGGCAGGGACCCTGCCATCCTGAAGAAGTGGCTCCTTTCTGAAAAGACAGTCAAGGTGCTCAAAGAGCTGCTGACAGAAAAAAGTAGCTCAAGTCACAGAGAAGAAGCTGCTGGCCTCTGAGGACGGGACGCAGGCAAGAAGCAGGGCCGGCCGAGGTAAGGCTCTACTTCACACCGAGTTAATGTAAAACGCTGAAAGAAAAGCGAAGGATTGCCAGGGTGTCTGCCGGAAGGAGAGGGAGTGTGCCCTGCAGACCTGAGTGGCATTGTCCCTGCTGCACAGACACACGGACACACGCCGTGTGCCCATGCACTCCTGGGCACCAGGCTGAGGGAGGCAGTGTGTGCGGCCAGGTGCTGAGCAGGCTCTCCGGGCTTCCGTCAGGCCTGATGGAGAGTCAGGCAGCGGCAACCTCGAGGGGCCCGCCTCTGGGCCTCTGGGCCAGGCGGAGTCCAAGCCAGGGAAGCTGGTGCCGGGCCGGAGAAGGGGATGTGTGTGACGGGAAGTAGCCCAGAGCGTGAGGGAGCCAGGGAGGGGCAGGCGAAGAGCTGAACCCAGGCTGGGAGGCCCCTGAGGGTCCTGCTGTCTGACCGCTCCTGTGGTTGCTTCCCCCCCCGGGGAGTGGGGCCATGAGTCCCACTCGTCGCCTTTCTACGAAGCCCGTCCAGATGTTATACTCTAAGTCTGTATGGGATGCACGGGGGGTGTCAAGGTGCCCTAAGTGCCCTCAGAACAGCAACTTTGCTTGAATTTTTGAAGGGAAAAGGTTTCGCATTTTCGCCTCTTGGAAGGATTCATTACGTGCAGAAGCGATCAAAACTCAGCAGCTCGCTGCCCTTTATTGGGGGCGGGGGAGGCGCTGGGAGGAGGCAGATGTTCATTAAGCGGTAAGGTAGGAAACGGTTTCATCACGGTTAAAACATATTTCTGATATTAAAATAAACCTGATATTAAGCTCTAATAAATTTATAAAAACAAATTCTGATATTAAAATGAAAGTAGAGCAGTAGGAGGTTAAATTTGTGTGAATTTTTAAGGTAGAACAGGAGATGCCAAGAAATGTTTGTTTTGCCCAGGATGTTGGGAGCCCCCCCGGCCACAGCTCCTTTCCTTGCAGGTAAGGCAGCTCCTGTGAACGTATGAGAAACACAACTGGTGTTGGGAGTCTGGAAAATTCTCCAAGAGTGAGATGATTCGGCCATCATCTGGAAAGACCACTGTTGGCAGGTGAGGCCACGGGCTCAGGCAGTCATGGGGTGACAAGGATAGGGCGGGCTTGTGCTCTCATGTGCCCCGTTCGGGAGCAGGGCTGACACCCTGGACACCCCGAACAGTAAGCACGAGTTCAACAGGTGTCAAGGAGGGCACCTGGCCCTGCCTCAGGCAGCCCAGCACTCACAGGGGGCAGCCGGGCTGTCCGGGTGTCCAGGAGGCTGAGGAGAGGTGCACTCGCTCCCTGTCGTCCTGTATCTGGAGCCGGATAGGCCGCCTCAGTCCCCAGGCAATGTTGAGAAGTCCCTCGATGACCAAAGCGCCTTCTTCCTGTGGGGAACTCACATAGGCTAGCCTCTTTCCCCGGAGCAGCCCTCCTCAGGGGTCACTGCCCACACACCCCCCCCCGTGTCCCCCTTAAGGCCCAGCCCCTCCCCAGGGGACTCCCCTGAACACTCTTGCCCCAAACACACCTCTCCTCCTTGGGGTCCTGCCCTCCCCTGGGGGGAGGCACATGAGCCTCTCTGTGCTCCAAGGCGTGAGGCCATGGGGCTGAGCAGAGGAAGCCTGAGGCGTGCCCTTCCACCGCTCAGTTCACATCTGGTCAGGGGCACGGCCTGGGACGGAGCCGCTGAGTCAGGCGTCCCACAGGAACCCAGCTGCTCTCCAGCAAGCACGTCCACACGGGTGAGGAAACGTTCCAGCGAAGGAGGCCACACTGACACTGGTGCCAGGTAGGGCTGCCTTCCCGCACCTGGGGAGGGGCCCCACGGTCACCAGCGCCCGCTGCGAGTGTGCTGAGGGCACTGGATTCCATGCCCGTCAGAGCGGGGGTGGCTACTCCTTGGAGCTGTGTCTCAGCCCCAACCCTTCTCCCCACACTGCTCCTGATTGCCACAGGAGCCACTCGAGTGGCCTGGGCCCACCCCGATTTCCAAGCTGCCTTCTTTCCTGAGGGCCGGCCTTGCTTTTCTCACCCACCGGCACGTTACCAGCCTCCACATTCCACTACTGGCGTGAACACTCAGAATAGCTACAACAGCTCTCGTTCTGTGCCCCCAGCCGGCCTTGATCTCCCAAGGTCTGCAGGTGCCACAGCTACCACCCTCCTGCCAAGCCCTGAGGTCCCAATTGACAGAACTCTCCAGGGGCACCCTCAGCCAGTTTCCCCTCCCACCCCTCCGGTCTTTGATTCTGTTTCTGACCTCTTCCAGGCTCTTATGTATGCGTGACCACAGCCAGGCTCTCTGCGCCCAGCCGAGTTGCCCCACGCATGTGCCTGGCCACGCTGCTTTCAGAACATCTTCTCAGCCCCACTTTCCCCAGATCCTTCCAGCTACCTGCTCCTAAGCTGCTTTGATACTAGCCTTTTGGCAATGAACGTTAAACATCATTCTCCCGTTGTTATGTGTATGTGTGTGTGTGTGTATATATATATATATATAAATATATTTTGAGCACTGGGTGTTATACTCCCATTGCTATCTTGAGCACCACCTTAGATTTACAAATTGCATTTCTTTCTCCTTATAGGCTTTGAAAGCCTTGTGAGAATAAGGGACCTTGTGGAAACGTCTTTGTATCCCCAGAAGGGCTTACAGAGGTATCCTGCAGCACTGATATCATGGTAAGTTAGTAATCGCTTAAAACACCCTGCTATCCACAGAGAAAATTGTTCCACTCTGTTCAAGGTTATCAAAAATACACATAGCTTTCTGGAATGACCTTGCACTGTTTGTTAAAAAAGAAAATGACAACAATAAAAGTAGAGCACTTCTTGATGACTACTGAAGTTAAACAGCCACAGACATGTAACTAACGCTCCCTACAAAGTTAAGACTGGATTGATTCCCTGGAGTTAAAGGGCAGTAAGAAACCCCAAAGTGGGGTTTGGTTCTCTGTTTTCTGTCTTGGCCTCAGATGCCTCTGTCAGAGGTCAACATGTGGGGCGTCTGGGTGGCTCAGTCGTTAAGCACCTGCCTTCAGCTCGGGTCATGATCCCAGGGTCCTGGGATCGAGCCCCACATTGGGCTCCCTGCTCTGCGGGAAGCCTGCTTCTCCCTCTCCCACTCCCCCTGCTTGGTTCTCTCTCTCACTGTGTCTCTCTCTGTCAAATAAATTTAAAAAAAAAAAATCTTAAAAAAAAAAAAAAGGAGGTCAACACTCTGAGAGAGAGAGCCCCCCGCCCTACCCGGCAGCTCAGCAAGTTCATTCACAGAGCCCCACTGCCTGCCAGCCCCACGTCTGACCCTGTGTGGAGGGAGATCAAGCAGTCACGGTCCTGGGTCCGAGAGTCAGGAGATCATTTAGAGCTCCGAGGGGCAGGAGAAGACAGCACCACTGGGCCAGGGGCAGTGGGGCTGGACACGCCGAGGCTGAGCCTTCAAACATGCCACCGGAAGTCTCTGGAGACCTTGCAGTGAAGGAGACAGGAGGAATTGCCCTGGGACTGGGAGCCAGGGGCAGGAGCAGAGTTGCTGCCTCTGAGGTCAGGGATCAGCTACACTGGGGTCTGCTGGCCTGATGTGACTCGGGCCCCGTGTCCCTACACAGATGGTACGTGTGCCCCCAAGCTGCCCCCCCCCACCGACCACTGTTCCTCTGTCCCTCAGCCTGGCCCCATCGGGTTGGAGGGGAGGCCCTGTCAAGTCTGCAGCTGTCTCTGGTCAAAGCAGGGGAAACTGAGGAGAGAGCAGAAGGAGTCTCAGGCTCCAGGGGGGCCCTCGCCGTACAGGTGGGGAAGGGCATGCAGGCCGGGGCAGGACTTGAATCTGGGTCCCACAGCCTCACATTTCCATTAAGTCGGGAAGCCATTCTGGGCCCTCTGATTCTGAGTCCCAGTGAACACGTCCCTCCTCACTGGAGGCCCCTGCCTCTCCCCGGGCTGAGCTGGCAGGAGCGGGGGCAGCCCCTCCCCTGCCCCGGAGGGTAAACAACCCTGGAGCCTCCCACGGCTCCAGCTGGCTCCGGGCTGGCGGCCGGCCCAAGCCCGCCCGCCACGTTGTTTTCCCTCCGAGAGCCTTCCTGGGCACTGCTATTTTTGGCCCGCGTGACAGTGACTGATGGCGGGCGGGGAAGTATAAAAGCAGCTGCCGGGCCTCGGGGTCCACCAGACAGCTCGGGGAGGCTTGCATGCCGGGCAGCAGCCCCACCGTCACGCTCCCCGTCCATCTCCTGGCCACGCCAACGCTGGACGCGGGGCTCTGACTGCGGGGCCCCCAACTCTTGGCCCCGAACTCCCTGGGCCTTCCCAAGGACTGTCCTTGCTCACCCGGCAGCCCTGTGATGCCTGGGTTCCCTCAGCTACAGGTAAGGGAGAGCAACTTCCCCCTGGTTAGAGATGCTACAGAAAGGTTTTGTTTATCTTTGAGGACGAACAGGGCCTCACTGCGGGTTAGAGACCAGGGCATGCAGTCGATGGCAGGGATAGTAGCCTCCGAGGGCGTCGCATTCCTAGAGGGATTTCATTCCGTGCGTTTCTTACAACACCCTTTCCAGCAGGTACTTATAACCCTGTTTTATGGACGGGTCAGGGGAGGCTTGGAGAGGTGACCTCGCCAACGGTCCCCAGGCCAGGAAGCGGCAGAGGCTGGTTTTACACCCAGGTTCCCTCTGACTCCAGCCCGTTAGGCCGGGTTGTCTGATTTGTGCGGGTTCTTCAACAACAGTAAGGATAGATTCTTAAGCACGAGGCTTTCAGCGTTAGCAGGAAGGAAGAGTCCGGGAGTCCGAGCCCGGGCTTGGGTCTGCAGACTTCACTCCACTCTCAGGCCCGTGAATCCCCCGGGCAGCCTCAGCTGAGAGAGGGGACACAGAGGGGTGACAGAACGGCAGACCCTCAACCCCGGTCCTCTGTCGATCAACAGGTCTCCGCCCCGCCTCGCCGACGGCCATGAGGTCCCGGCTACTGCTTCCCGTGGCCCACCTGCCCACAATTCAGGAGACCCTGGAGGAGATGCTGCCCGGGGGGCCCGGGCAGGAGCCCCCGGCCTCCCCCAGCCTGGATGACTACGTGAAGTCCATTTGTCAGCTGGCACATCCCACCTCAGTGCTGGATGTGGCCACAGCCAGGGCCCAGCCCAGCAGAAGCCCCCGGCCAGCCCGGACCTTCCAGAAGAGCTGCCCTACTGAGTCCCTACGGGACATTACTACCTGCTTCAGTGGTCAGCAACGGGCACCACCTGGGGACGGCACTACCGACCCCCTGGACTGGCTCTTCGGGGAGTCCCAGGAAAAGCGGCCGAGTAGGAGGGACCCGCCAAGGAGGACTGGCTTCTCTGCTGACTCCTGGGGTCTACACAGACAGATGGACAGTGGCAAGGCCCGAGGGACCCCCAGAGGGAGACTCTGGGATGCCAGGGTGCAAGGGCACTCTCTGGTGAGACCCTCAAGGGACTGGCACCAGGGCTCCGGGGCTTCCAGGCAACTCGGTGGGGCCGCGGCCTCCCCCCCAGCTCCCCGCCCCAGCAGCATCCTCAGAACTCTCTATTTGCACCTCCCAGTGATCCATGAACTCTAACCCCTCCCCAATAAAGCCTTCTGTACAGAGTACGCTGGTCTGTGTCACCTCCTCCCCCTCCTCCCCTGGGGTGGGGACTGTCCCTGGCAGGTCTCCAAGAGGGAAACACCTTTCTGCAGGGGCTGCCTGCCTGGGCATTTCATAGCGAGGCACACCCCCCCCCACCCCGAAGAGTGAGAACAGCCTTTCTGGCCTCATGTGGTGTTACTGATCCTGTTTGCACTGTTCCGCACTGCTCCTCGCTGGCTGAGCACCTTGGGCAAGTTACTTAACATTTCTGTTTGTTGGTTTTCTCGTGGGTAAAATGGGGGTAATTAAAGGGACCTACTTTCTAGGCTGTTCTGATGAGTAAATGCTCACATTCATCATGGGGCGCATGTTACAAGCCCGCACGCAGGCTTATACCCATGTCTATGTGACTGCTTCACAGGCAAGGATGTGCGGTCGGTGGCGGGTGCGAAGCGAAGCTCTCAGCCACACAGGGATTTCAGAGTGAGGCCTGCGCTCTCCCAGGTCAGCCTCCTGGCCCCACCCCCAGAGCCCGGGCTCCATGCAGCACAAGAGGAAACATACGGTTTCCCCAAATGTACCTGCTGGGTGTCGGGGCGGGGGGGGGAACCTGTCACTAGATCACCTGGGGTATCTCCGTGGCTCCAGCTCACAAGTCCTGTTGTGTCATTGGGAGGGTTTTGCCTGTGCTGAGGGCCAGGACAGACCCCAGACCAGCTCCGCAGGCAGGGTACCAAACCACAGGGACTGGTGGCCCTGTCCCTACTCCCTCCACCCAAGGGGCTTCTCGCCTCTGGGGCAAAGTGCAGGCTATTGGTCAGTTGCCCTGCTCTCAGGCAAGTCCAGTGGCCAGGGCCTCCATCCCCAGGTCCTAAGGTCTGGGCCAGCCCTGGCTCCTCCAAGCCCAGCGCCGGAGAAGCCATCTGACAGGGAGGGAGATGGAAGTGAGGAATAGGGGCGAGGGAGAGGCGGGTGAGGCATCGGAGCACTCAGAAGAATCAGGCCTGAGGACCCATCACCCTGTTCCCTCGGGCCAGGTCAGAGCTGGCCGGCCCTGGTCAGGGTGGAACAGACAGAGGGGAGAGGAGGACTGAGCTGGGTCCACAGCCAAGCTCACAGCCGGCTTCGGTCTCCTCCATCTCCTTGCTCTGAGGGCTACCCAACTATTTTCTTCCTTTCTTCTTCCTTTATTTTTTTCTATTTTAAAACTATTTTGCATTAAAAAAATGTTTATTGGCCCCCTTTTATGTGTGTTTTGTAGGAAGGCAGAACATAAACCATACATTTAAAAGTGTCAGACAAGTAATTTACTCAGTCTCCTTATCTGTAAAATGGGGACACCACCCCTGCCCTTCACAGCCTGCAGGGTTTGAGGAACGGGGCACATGCCCTTGGAGATGGAGTAGAAATGCCGCAGAGGAGTGCCTGCATCCATCACAACCCGCTGTGTCCCTGGCCTGCTCAAACCTGCCCATCCCTCACCTTTGCTGGCAAATAAGTACGGGGCGGCCTTTAGCCAGAACACCCTTAGGAAGCGGCGGGGAGGGCTGACCTGGGAGGGGGTGCTGGCCGGTGACTGGGCTGGGCTTGCCTCACTGTACCCCTCTGCGAAGCTGTGTGAAATCAGGTCAGAAGGAGGCAACTAAGATGAGGTTGGCCGATCCCCCCCACCCCCTGCAAGCTCAAAAGCCACACGGCTGCATTTGGGAGGTCAGACAGGGCTCTGGGTTCCTCTGCTCATCTCCCCTGATGTGAAAGAAGCTAATGGGACCTTCAGGAAATGCCAAAAAAAAGAATAAAGGGCAGGGGGAAGGGGCTTCTGGCATTATTCCAAGCTTCCCACGGGACAGAACAGCCTAGCAGAAAGTCCCCGTGATGGGGGTCCTATAGAGCAGTCTCCTCCTCACTCGCCCCTGGAGTAGGGAAAGGATGCAGTGTCCTGACCAGGCGGCAGCCTGGGAAGCACTTGGGAGCTCTCAAGGGAACATGTCCACGGCCGAGTACACCCGGGTGCCAGTGGTCTGTCAACTGCCCGTCATCCTGCCTCCAGGGGAGGATGGGGAATCACTATAAGAAGGAAGGGGATCCTGACTTTCTCCACCCTGGGAGAGGCAGAGACCCTGAGTGAGGGGATGCTCGTTCCCTTTCTTACTCTGCGCAGGAGCCCGGGACCAAGGATAGGGACTGGGTGTGATGTGCGCTCACGGCCACCAGGGGGAGCACGAGAGGCCAGCTCCCCTAGCGGGCCATGCGCTGGTGCACAACAGGAGGGTCCTACTTCTCATCACAGGGACGTATTTACCCACCGGTATTTCTGGGTGGTCGGTTTTTCCTTCGAGCAACCAAACAGCCCGGTTAAAATGATTTGCTATCGGGCGCCTGGGTGGCTCAGTTGGTTAAGCGACTGTCTTTGGCTCAGGTCATGATCCTGGAGTCTCGGGATCGAGTCCCGCATTGGGCTCCCTGCTCAGCAGGGAGTCTGCTTCTCCCTCTGACCCTCTTCTCTCTCGTGCTTTCTATCTCTCATTCTCTCTCTCTCTCAAATAAATAAATAAAATCTTTTAAAAAAAATGATTTGCTATCTTCAAAAGGCACAGATTGCTCCAGGTTGCTCGTGCTCTCCTTTGTAATATAAGCACAAGGCAGAGTTTCCGATAGAGGAGGCTAGTGCCTGGGCCTCCTCCGATAGAGAAGCTAGTATGGGAAATCCCTCGCCCTTTGGGAGCTGAGGGAGAATTCGTGGGGAAACACTTGCCCCAGGGCATGGCCCTGCTCCCTGACACACTTCATCGTCCCACGTTCTGTGGATCCCGGAAAGGACCATGGAGGAGGAGGTGTCCCCATACTGCAGCAGTCAGGCCACCGTCGCTCGGGGGGAGGCCTAGTGACAGCAGGGAGCGGAGTCTCTTCTGGAGCCCCACGTGGCTCTGTGAGGGCACAGCTGGTGCTGAGCCCCTCCGCAGCTGGACGGCTCCTTAGCTCGGTGACTGGAGGTGACAAACAGCTCCCTGCGTCTCTGAGGCTGGTCAAAGCTTAATGCTGGTAATGGGTCACTGTCTTACAAACTTCTGTGCTCAGGCCTTGGAACCATGCTGGCATCTTCCACTTACTGCAGTGTTACCTTGCAGGAGAGATTTAAACTCTGAAAGCCTCAATCTCTTTGCCCGGAATATGGCCATTCCCATGTCACACAGCTCTTGTATTACAGTGAAGAACAGAGGGGTGAAGTGCCTTGTGCCTGGTGCCTGTCTGTCCTGCCCTCAGGGCCCGCAGTGCCTGATGAGAGGCTGGCCTGGGGTTGACCCTGCGGCAGGTGCCTGAACTGCAAGTCCCCGAGGCCCCGGAGGTCCCGGGTCTGTGTTCTGAGAAACCACAGAGGCCTGAACACAGGGTGGTGGGTGGGTCACGGAGGCACTCGGTGTCCAGGAATCAGTCATGTATTTCAGCATCAGAACTCTGTGCTGCCCAGGCCTACAGTGCCTTTGTGGTGGCGGTCACCCCCCCCCCCCCGGAGGACGCATACTCCCTCAGGCTGGTGCCCCTTGGCTGTTAAGGCTGAGGAAGTTCCCTGAAAGGTACTTTCTGGCTCCAGGGAGATCAAGTCAGATCCTTATCCCTCTTTAAGGTTAGGAAGAGGAAAACCCCCGTCTGTGGGGTGTTAACTTCTTACCACAGGGGCTGTCAGAAACACCTCTTCCCCTTTTTGGGGTCTCTCACTTTTCCACCTGGACTCTCCTGTCACACACAAACACAGGGCATAGGTTTGGGGCTTCCCAGCCCTACTCCCCACACGACTGTTCCAACAGAGGGGATTATCTTGGGGAATCCCAAGGGCCAAGGCCAAGCTCTTAGAGTAGCAATTCTCAAACTGGACCTTCATCACAGTACCCTGGAGGGCTTGTTAAAACACAGATGGGAACAGAAGGAGTTTCTGATTCAGCAGGCCTGGGGGCAGGAGGGCGACAAGAATTTGCATTTCTCACCAGTCCCAGGTGACCTTGAGGCTGCCGGTGCACAGAGCCCAGGTTGAGAGCTGCCAAGTCTTCGATCAATCACCAAACGGCCCAGGGCTGAGGAACAAACAGGGCCCAGCCAGAAGACCCCAGCGCACGCCTCCAGCACAACAACTGAGGTGGGTCCAACTCCACACTTAGCATAGATCAAAACTGTCCAGTGCTCAGGACGCATCTCAGCTTGCCCTGGGACTGTGCCTGCTGGTTAGTCACCCAACACCTATGTTGGGTTGGCACGCTGTGCCTGGCCCAGTGCCCGAAACCAGCCAGGCACTCAGGTAAGAAAAGAAGCAGCAAAACCAGAGATAGCAGGGGGGTGGCGTCAGAGCCCCGGGGGGCAACAGTGAGGAGCAGGGCTGCGGCGGGCTGGTGAGACAGGTGTCAGCTGCTCTGCAGAATGAAGAGCGGGGCCAGGCCGAGGGGGAGGGGACCGAGGCCCTGTGTGGGCTGAGCGGGCCCAGGGGAGGTGGCATGGGAGACGTGTGCCCTCCCAGGCCCCGTGCTGCCTGGACCACGAGCCAGCAGCTTCCCTCCCACCCAGGCTCCCGAGCCTCGTGACAATAGCCAGGCCTGGGCTGTGTTGTGCCCACGGATATGTTTTGTTTAGCCAGCATGGTGTTTTGATGTTTGCGAAATTCCACATGAAATTCCAGATATCTAACTTCTTTTTGAAAAATTAGAAAGAGTCTGGCTGTCTGGAGCCCACGTTCCTGCACAGCAGCGTCTGCAGACGGGACGGTGCTCTCTGGCATCCTCCACTCCCCAAGCCTGCCCTGCCTCTCCCATTCTGAGCTGCCTGGCCCAGCGAGCATCCTTTGGGGAGCTCTCCTCCATTTCAAAGCTTTCCTCTGATGTTTATTCTGACTGACAAACCCGGAGACTGCTTTCACTTTTCGATTGCCCTGTGACCTTGGGCAAACCAGAGCCCCCTGTTGAGTTCCTTATTTGTGCTGTGGGATGGGCAGAGAAGGGACTGGGCTGTGCAGTCTCGAAGGTTTCAAATTCCAGTG